AAGATATATTTGATTGTGTTTGTTTAGTACTAAATTATGGTAAACGTATTTAAAATATATTTAGTTGGGATAGGATAAAATAAATTGCTCTTGTTATAATAAGGTTAGGTAAGTTTTCTAAGATTCTTTTGGTGCAAAATTAAAATTTTTTGCATTAACATTAATGAAAAAATATATCTTTAAACGTACAAGAGAAAATTTCAGGAAAGACTTAATTTTAAATGAGTTCTGGCTAATTGACCAGTTTTACATATTCGGCACGACATATATATAATATATATATATATATATATATATATATATATATATATATATATATATTTTATATATATATATCGGATCATTATTTAGTTGTAGCTACAGTTAGAGTAAGAGGTAGATGGGAAAAGAGGAAGGTGGCAACAACAAGTAAGAGGGAGGTGAAAGTGTATAAACTAAGGGGGGAGGAAGTTCGGGGGAGATATAAGTGACTATTGGCAGAAAGGTGGGCTAGTGCAAAGATGAGTAGTGGGGGGGGTTGAAGAGGTTGGAATAGTTTTAAAAATGCAGTATTAGAATGTGGAGCAGAAGTTTGTGGTTATAGGAGGGAGGATGCAGGAGGAAATAGGAGTGATTGGTGGAATAATGAAGTAAAGGGTGTGATAAAAGAGAAAAAGTTAGCTTATGAGAGATTTTTACAAAGCAGAAGTCCTATAAGAAGAGCATAGTATATGGAGAGTAAAAGAAAGGTGACGAGAGTGATGAGAGAGTGCAAAAGGAGAGCAGATGATAGAGTGGGAGAGGCACTGTCAAGAAATTTTAATGAAAATAAGAAAAAAAATTGGAGTGAGTTAAACAAGTTAAGAAAGCCTAGGGAAAATATGGATTTGTCAGTTAAAAACAGAGTAGGGGAGTTAGTAGATGGGGAGAGGGAGGTATTAGGTAGATGGCGAGAATATTTTGAGGAACTTTTAAATGTTGAGGAAGAAAGCGAGGTGGTAATTTCATGCACTGGTCAGGGAGGTATACCATCTTTTAGGAGTGAAGAAGAGCAGAATGTAAGTGTGGTGGAGGTACGTGAGGTATTATGTAGAATGAAAGGGGGTAACGCAGCTGGAACTAATGGGATCATGACAGAAATGTTAAAAGCAGGGGGGATATAGTGTTGGAGTGGTTGGTACTTTTGTTTAATAAATGTATGAAAGAGGGGAAGGTACCTAGGGATTGGCGGAGAGCATGTATAATCCCTTTATATAAAGGGAAAGGGGACAAAAGAGATTGCAAAAATTATAGAGGAATAAGTTTACTGAGTATACCAGGAAAAGTGTACGGTAGGGTTATAATTGAAAGAATTAGAGGTAAGACAGAATGTAGGATTGCGGATGAGCAAGGAGGTTTCAGAGTGGGTAGGGGATGTGTAGATCAAGTGTTTACATTGAAGAATATATGTGAACAGTATTTAAATAAAGGTAGGGAAGTTTTTATTGCATTTATGTCGTGCCGAATAGGCAGAACTTGCGATCTTGGCTTAAATTGCAACGCTCATCTTGCCATATAGGACAAGTGAAAATTTGTATATGCAATAATTTCGCCAAAATCATTCTGAACTTAACGAAAAAAAATATATTTGATTGTGTTTGGTTAGTACTAAATTATTGTAAACGTATTTAAAATATATTTAGTTGGGTTAGGCTAAAATAAATTGTTCTTGTTATAATAAGGTTAGGTAAGTTTTCTAAGATTCTTTTGGTGAAAAATTAAAAATTTTTACATTAACATTAATGAAAAAAATATATCTTTAAACGTATAAGAGAAAATTTCAGAAAGGACTTAATTTTAATGAGTTCTTGCTAACTGACCAGTTTTACATATTCGGCACGACATATATATATAATATATATATAAATTTTATAAAATATATATATAATATAAATATATATATATATATATATATATATTATATATATATATATATATATAATCTAATATATATACATATTGTATAGAAAGTGGTTTATTTATAAGTAATACGTATTTCATAAAAAGAGGATAAAAAAGTATACAAAATATGATGTAGGGCGAAATGACAGTAGTTTGTTGGACTATGTGTTGGTAGATAAAAGACTGTTGAGTAGACTTCAGGATGTACATGTTTATAGAGGGGCCACAGATATATCAGATCACTTTTTAGTTGTAGCTACACTGAGAGTAAAAGGTAGATGGGATACAAGGAAAACAGAAGCAGCAATTAAGAGAGAGGTGAAGGTTTATAAACTAAAAGAGGAGGCAGTTAGGGTAAGATATAAACACCTAGTGGAGGATAGATGGGCTAGTGAGAGTAGAGGCAATGGGGTTAAAGATGTATGGGGTGGGTTAAGAATGTAGTGTTCAGCAGAAGTTTGTGGTTACAGGAAAGTGGGTGCAGGAGGGAAGGAGAGCATTGGGGAATGATGTAAAGAGAGTAGTAAGGGAGAAAAAGTTAGCATATGAGAGATTTTTACAAAGTAGAAGTGATGCAAGGAGGGAAGAGTATATGAAGAGAAAAAGAGAGGTTAAGAGAGTGGTGAAGCAATGTAAAAAGAGAGCAAATGAGAGTGGGTGAGATGTTATCAACAAATTTTGTTGAAAATTAGAAAAATCTTTGGATTTTTTTTTTATAAGTTGAGGAAGCCTAGAGAACAAATGGATTTTACAGGTAAAAGTAGGAGAGGAGAGTTATTAAATGAAGAGTTAGAGGTATCGGGAAGATGGAGGGAATATTTTGAGGAATTGTTAAATGTTGATGAAGATAGGGAAGCTGTGATTTCTTGTATATGGCAAGAAGGAATAATATCTTGTAGGAGTGAGGAAGAGCCAGTTGTGAGTGTGGGGGAAGTTCGTGAAGCAGTGGGTAGAATGAAAGGAGATAAGGCAGCCGGGATTGATGGGATAAAGATATAAATGTTGAAAGCAGGTGGGGATATAGTTTTGGAGTGGTTGGTGCAATTATTTAATAAATATATGGAAGACGGTAAAGTACCAAGGGATTGGCGGAGAGCATGCATAGTTCTTTTGTATAAAGGTAAAGGGGATAAAAGAGAGTGCAAAAGTGCCCAACCAGTCGAGATATACTTAAGAAACAACTCCAACAACAACAAAAAAAAAAAACACTGCACAAGCGACTACATATACTGCTATTACCAAGCTTCAAGCAGATACTACAAAGATTCTTCAAGCCACGCAAGCTGCATCTACCATTTCTTCGCCAGCTCTTGCTGGCGACTCCACCAAGATTCTTTACTGCATCATGTATGCTCATGTGCAGAATGTAGCTGAACCTGGTTCCTTCAACACCACCATCAACGAACTCTTCAAGCTCAACAACATGCCTGGTTTCACATTCCCTGCATCTCCACCTTCCACAGAGATCATAAAATCCACTGCAAATTCGCCAACATTACCGCTGCTCCACCGCTACCACACCTTCCTCCCGACACAGAGATGGACCAATCAGAGACCACTAAGACGCCGACCGATTCCATCAATGAGAGTCCACCAGCACCTGCTTCCACCTCTGTCACAACGGACCAATCAGACGCCTCACCTCAGTCGTCTCAGCCGCCAGCCAAGAAGGTTAAAACACAAGAGCCTTGGGATGCATCCCTACGTACTACCGCCACTCCTTCACAAGAAGTCCATTGCTTTCTTGGTGTATACTTCTACACAACCAACCAGAACGAGAACGCAATGTACACTCCAGAAATTATTCAACGCCTCCACAACGGGACAGTCAAGTTCACCTGCGACTCGACTCGATCATTCACCACTGAATCCCTGATCAACCAACTCTCAAAAAGCACCGCTTTGTGGCACTCGACTACACCACAAGAAAGGAATTCAGAGCTCTCCAGAATGGGGCTGCTGAAGACGGTACCCTCACCTAGCAGGACTGTCAATGATCAATCACCGTGAAGACAAGTTTCCCCAGCATTTTGCTGCCTGCTAAAGCTGGGGTGTGGCTCCAAAATGAACCCTGTAATTGCTGCCTCCGCCCTTCTATGCTGCTGAAGATGCTAAACGAGAAGACGCTTCCCACTTGGGGAGTCACCGCAAGACAGAAGAAGAAATCACCCTCCAACCGGAGGGCCCCAAGAAAGAATACAGAAGAAAGAAGATGAACGACACCCCTCGCCCGGGAGGCCACCGCCGGGTCGCCATCTGGAGAAGTGGAGAAGACCTGGACCGGAAATACCGGCAACCTACAACAACAACATTAACTTTATTGTTCCTTGATAATGTGAGTAGTCACGAAAGCGCTTAAAATTTCTCTATTCTTTCACAGTGGTTGTTTGGCATATATATAAATATATATATATATATATATATATATTATATATATATATATATATATATATATATATATATATATATATATATATATATTATATATATATAATATAATATATAAATAATATATATATATATATATATAATATATATATATATATATATATATAAATATATATATATATATAGGGAGGTACCAGCTCTAGAACTCTATTGAGGACCCTCATCCTCAGAGAAGACAATAAACGTACCTCAGGGAAAACTCAAGGTGATATAACCACCAAAATTGAGCTGCATTTTCCAAGTGAGTATCTTTTAGTGATGTCTAGAAAGAACTGTAAAATAATTTTTGGATTCCTCTTATTGCGCACGCATATTCACTGTTGTCTTGGCTTCACATTACTGATTACCATGACTCCTAAGTCTTTTCCAAATTTTGTATGACCCAGCTCTACTTCATCTAGTTTATGACTTCAAGGGCTATATTCAATCCATAGGATTTGGAATCTACACTTGTTCCCATTGAACTGAGTCCGTCACTGTTTAAAACATGGCATTAATTTTTCCATTTCTTCCTGAAGTTCAACGGTATCCTCCTCAGGATACCAATGGTATGGTGGGCATTTAATGGTATCAGTCAGTGTGTGACATATAAAATATTAATTATATTAAGAATAAGTCAGATAAGTACTCACATTGTGGTACCAGTGGACGGAAGTGGGGGAGGGGACGGCTGTGACCGAACACGTGAAATACACGTCCATACCCTCCTTAATGTCGTGGAGATCAAGATGCGACTCCAGTGAAATGTGAACAACTGGAACATCTGGAAAAAACAGCTGGTTAATGTGTGTCTCTGAAATTGTCTGATTGGTAACTCAGTAGCGCCTACGGCTTCCAAACAGAATCACAGGTTTAATCCTTGAGTGAGTGGAAATTATTACCATGTTTACGTACAAGGTATGTTATCTCAGGTCACTTAGCAGTAAACTGATACCTGGGTGTTGGTCAAGTGGTGTGGAAGGCACCTTGAGTATGGTTGTTGGGGCCCGAAAGAAAAAATGAACCTCTATTCTGTATCTATACAGTTTATTGATATAAAAACATAAAATCGAAGAATATAGCTCATTCTATGTAACAGCACAAAACTACGTACATAAACTAGATTTTATAAGCAAAATCCCCCACTATGTCATTGTATATTACGATAAATGCATTATTGCTACTGTGGCAACCCACGCTATTGATGCTGTACTCACTAGTGTTAGTGCTGCAATTCGCAACATTTTAATTGTTGCAGCGTACTGTATCGCTTCCGTTACAACATACTATTGTTATTGATGGAACATATATACTACCTGTGACCTCATATTAATAATGAGAGGAAAAAATTCCTAATATCACAGAAAATAGTTATATCATTACTCGTTATTCTTATAATATTAATATAAACTAAAATACTGCGCTTCATTATATACAAAAATAATATTAGGGAGAGATAGTATTTAACAGTGTGTATTATGTGCTTACAATGCATCAAATTCTAATTCTTGTTTCAGTAATAATGATAATACCAAAGTTAACACAATTAACATCTGGTAAATGATAATCAATAATGAACAAACATTTATGGTCAAAGTATCGATACATTTATGTAATTAAAATATTTATTAAAACTCAGCAATTATTTACTAATTATTATTATAAATTTATATTGCTGCCAAGTAACACGAAAAATAATTACGAAAAGTAATTCCTAATTAGCGCTAGAAAAATTTGTATATTTTATATAAAATCTAATCATTAAATCGTCTTAATCATTATGATATTATAAAAATAACTTAGAAAATAAGAATTCAATCTAAAACTCGTAAGACTGTATCTAAAAGAATCCTTGTTAATTCCCTGCGTATATATGTGAGAGATTTTAACCCCATAATAATAATAACAATAATAATAATAATAATAATATTAATAGTAATAATAACAATAATAATAATAATAATAATAATAATAATAATAATAATAATAATAATAATAATAATAATAATAATAATAATAATAATAATAATAATATTATTATTATTATTATTATTAATTATTATTATTATATTATTATTATTATTATTATTATTAATATTATTATTATTATTATTATATTATTACTATTATTATTATTGTTGTTGTTAACTTTATTATTGAATGCAAATTGTTGATACCTTTTCATCGCCTCTTTCTAAGTGATGCCGACAACATTGACATGATGGAATGTCATATAAATGCGTTATCAACCTATAAACATTTTGTGTAAACATGCAGCTGCCGTGTCATCGGACATGCTAACATAGCAAACAGAAAGTTCCCACAACATTTTTCAAATAATCAGCCTTGAGTGCTCATAAATTATCAGAGTTGATAGGAGAAGAACTCATGCTTAATAAACGATACTTAAATTGTACTCATCCTGTCTATTATATTAACAGACTATGCAGAAGACTCCGACAAGTGCAAACATGGTAAAGAAAAACGCACAAAATGCGTGTTAATGGAATAACTGGAAAAGTGGGCCGATAAATCTTCAACGTTTTAACCAATGGAACACAAAGAGTAATAGCAAACAGAGTTAAGTTGGAGGCTGTCATAGTGAAAAGCTCTGTTCCGAAAGGCAAGGTGATCTCCCCCGTCCTGTCCCTTATCCTCATATCAGATATAGGTAGAGATATAAACCATAGCACCATGTCTTATCTTGCAGATGATAATAAAAGGTGCATGAGTCATCCATCAAGGACCCGGTAAATTTTCAAGCGGATATACGCCAAGTTTTCCAATGGACAACGGAAAACAATATTGCGTTTAGTATGGACAATCCGTTATGGAAAATTTGAAGAAATATAAGCTAGGACGGAGTCTACTACAAACTAACCACACAACAGAGGATCAGAGGATCTCACCTTCAAGGATGACAATAGTGTCACTATCACATCTGCTTGGAAAATGATAGGATGGGTAATGAGAACTTCCGAAACAAGTAATGGCATGCTAATGATGATACTTTTAAGTTATTTGTTCTCTCTGAGCTGGAATAATGCAGCACACTAATATTTCCATTTAAAGCATTTAAAATTACAGATCTAGAGAATGTACAGAAAGTTTTCACTGCACATATAAGTTCGGTCAAGCACCTTAATTTCTGGGAATGTTGGCAACGCTCTCGCCTCACACACTGAGTGTCCATGGTTCAATCCCCGTCAAGGGTGGAAACGTTGGTCAGGTTTCCTTACAAGTGCTGTCCCTGTTCATCTAGCAGTAAGTAGGTACCTGGATGTTGGTCGACTGGAGTCGATCGAATCATGGGGGACAAGACTGAAGGACCCTAATGGAAATAAGTCAGACAGTCCTCGATGAAGGACTAACTTCCTTGGGTTATCCTGGATGGCTAACCATCCGGGTTAAAAATCCGAACAAATCGTATCTTTTGTTCCTTGACCTGGACTCCCTGGAATACAAGCGAGAAAGATGTATCATTATCTACACCTGGAATATTCCAGAAGCACTGGTCTTAAACCCGTACGCAGAAATCATCCCCTAAGAAAGCAAACGATTAGTCAGACGGTGTAATATCCCATCAATGAAAATCAAGGACGTCATGAATACCCGAAAACACAGAGTGTCTAGTGTCCAAGACTGTTCAACAGCCTTCCACTATAGATATGGGGAATTACCAATAGACCCCAGGCTGTCTTCGAGAGGGAACTGGACAGATACCCAAAGTCAGTGCCCGATCAACAGGGCTGTGGTTCGTACAATGGATTGTATTCGGTCAGCAGTAGCAGCCTGGTTGATCAAGCCTCAGGGCTTGATTCAAGGGGCGCCGCAGATTCGTTGAGCCTCCAGGTAGGTTGGCTTTCTAGTTTCACATCCTGCTGATGTGAATCTTGATTAAATAATACTGCCTAAACAATTAAGTTAGAATTACAGCTTAATAGTCTCTTTATGAAGTTTGTGTCTTCTTGGTAACTGGTCACCAGATAGGAAATCTGTGTTGTTACCGGCCCACTTAATTCATACTGTGGCCAAGAGCAGAATCGAGCAGACTTCCTGGCGGATTCACTCGCTGACTCACTGAGAGACATTCTTGGGCCAAAGGTTAGACAGCACTGCAGTAGCAGCTGATGTAATTATTCCATTTCCTTTAATAGGGTAAACATTAAAGGTAGTTTGAAGCTGTTGCGATGCATATCCCAGATTTCAGTCACTTCGGGTAAAGTCTATCATAATTCGTAAATGCTTAATATTTACTGTTAAACTTAACCCACAGGACCACCTAATCCTACAAGAGCCAAGCACCCAGCCAAGCTAGGTGTGTTACTCTTGGTCCGAGGACTTACGGAGGTGTGCGAGCTTTCAAGCTAATTTCATTCTCATCCCTGTTTGGTATACTAGCCTATGAGCAGCATATATATATTACTGCACCCTCGAATGAGTGGTATTGATCAATAACAACACTGCGCTAGCCAAGGATTCAAACCCGTTGTACTGGCCCGCCACTGTGAACGAGAACATGACCCACAGGACCACCCAATCCTCGGACCAAGAGTAACGCACCTAGCATGGCTTGGTTCTTGTAGGATTGGGTGGTCCTGTGGGTTAAGGGGTCACGTAGTTCTCGCTCACAATGGCGGGCCAGTACAACATGGGTTTCGAATCCATGGCTAGCGCAGTGTTGTTATTGATGTATATATATATATATAATATATATATATATATATATATATATATATAATATATATATAATATATATATATATATATATATATATATATATATATATATATATATATATATATATATATATATATATATATATATATATATATATATATATATATATATATATATAATATATAATATATATATATAGGCAAAACAACCACTCTGAAAGAATAGAGAAATTCCAAGCGCTTTCGTGACTACTCACATTATCAAGGAACTATGAAAGTAAAGCATCAGAGAAGCTATATAAGGGGTCTGGTCGGCACCTCACTATCAGATCCCACAACGGTTTAAACACGTGACGCGCGGCGAGCCAACTTGGAAAGGTCCTTGGCACAACTCACCCCACAAACTATTCTACCCAAGAAATAAGAAATTTTAAACATTATTTGTCCAGTGTATTATTAAATTCTTCCCAAATTCTATTAATTATAAATGGATCTAATTTATATAAACCAAAGGAAATATTCATATTATTGTCAAAACTGCTTTTTATGAAACAAGATTCAATTATATTCCTGTCGACCATGGACTTGCTTGATACTACTTTTCTCAACTTTTGAAAATCAATTGGATGGTTAAAATCTCTTACATGAATAAATAGAGCATTGGAATCTTGTCCAGTTCTAATGCTATATTTATGTTGTTTTAATCTTAGTTCGAGATTTTTACCAGTTTGACCGTAATAAACTTTATCGCAAATTTTACAAGGAATCTTATAGACACATCCATCAGCATTTTGGGGGGAATTCTTTATCAAAAGTTTTTTTACTGTATCGAGATTTTTGAATACAACTTTAATATTAAAAGTCTTAAGAAGAGAAGGCATATCAACCAAGTTTTCATGGTAAGGGAGAACCAACATATTTTTATTTGAATAAAGCTGGTTGTCCCTTTTTGGATTGTAAAAAGTATTTCTGGCAACTTTAAAAGATTTATCAATTACATTTCTTGGGTATTTTAAATCATTACCTATTTCATAAATTTTGGATATTTCCTCATCTATGAACTCAGGACTACAAATTCGTAAAGCTCTCAGAAACATTGATGAGA